ACGCCCTGTACTCGGGCCACCCCTTCGTCCCCGGGAACCGTGGGCGCTCCCTGTCACCTTGCTGTCTCTTGAGTCCCAGTCACTTCAGGGCCTCTGATTACCCCCAATGGAATGACAGCCAGCTAACTTGGGGCCTGGGACCCTGCAGCCCTTCCCCTGGATGCCGGGTTTAGGTGGCCCTCCTGAGCTGATTTATGTCTGGGAAGCTGCCGCGGGCCCATTCAACTCCTGTGTACTTTGCAAAGTTTCTGCAATTGCATGCCTCATGTAGAGCATGTTGCACTTCCCAGCGATGCGGGGATCATATTTAAATCTGCACCGTTGGCTACTTGAGCCTCCGGAGTCTCGCACTGAACAATCGAACGTGACAGTCGTGAGTTCTAACGATTTGCTTTTCAAAGCCGTCGTGACTCAAATACTCTCTCACTTCTCCAGTTAGCTGAATGGGCAATGTGTCCTTACGGGAAGGTTTTCTTTCTTTCTTTCTTTCTTTCTTTCTTTCTTTCTTTCTTTCTTTCTTTCTTTCTTTCTCTTCTTTTCTTTTTTCTTTTTTTTGTAGTTCTTCCAGTTCTTATTTGGGGATTCTTTTTAGCGTCACATGTACGGAGACACTGAAGTGGGTGCCACTGAAACATGATTAATAGCCAAGCAGCTCCTAAAACGAGTAATTTTCACAATCATTTTTTAAGTCATCGTTGCACACTTGTATTAAATTCTTTCAGATATACCCAAGTGCAGACTGGAGTTCTTGCTAACTGAAATCCCGGAGCAATAGTGCTCTTGCGTTCTACTTTCTCTTGTATGGGTCTCTTCAACATATACACAATCCTTCCGTAGGTGACCAACAGAGGACGCTGGTGGTCCAGGATTGAATTGACAAACCACGGCTTTTCCTCCCCCTTTTCCTTTTTAAAAATAGTTTGTGGATGAGCGGTGGGAACTTGTGAGACAGACTTAGAAAGAGACTTTCCTGGATGCCCTTGAAATGAGCGTTTACAATAGGGGCTAGAGAGTTTCTTTTTGGGGAGACCTATGAAATTTTATGTAGGAAGCAAACTAAGACGACTTCCCCACATATCTGTCTGCCCATCATGCAGCTAGCTTCTGGTGAAGTTGATATTCATCCACCGTGTGTCTTTATGCCTCTCCTGTATCTCTTTCATCTATTTATATTACTTTCTACATGATATTTATTTTCATTAAATTTACTTCTCCCTTATTATTAAAGATTAATTTGAGTTTTTACAAAGAAAAAAAATCAAAGATTAGAAACGTGAAGGCATGGGCTTGGTGGTAGCCTGCCAAGGCACAGCGTCCCAATTTTCACAGATATATCTCCTCATAGTGTTCAGGTTGTTGCTAGACTTAACATTGTCTACCAAAAACTACCTCAATTGTCCCTCCTTTTCTTCAGTGTATTAACACCCAAGAATAGGGCCTCTGATTTCATTGGAAGATTGAAAGAAAAAATAGTAAATCCCCCAGGGTTACAGTTGTTCTTTAAATAACCGTGGAGACCTTGACTCCAAAATTAGAACAAGGTTCAGTATCAAAAATGATTCTAGACACAGCAGGCCTCCCTCTCCTGTGTTCGGTACAATGTTACACACAGAAGCAGTCTGGTCAGTTGTCAGTGTAGCACTTTGCCCAGCTTTATCATTAGGCTACGAGGCAGAGGACGCCTAGAAGGAATGGCTTCTTGGAAAAGATAAAAAGTGTTTAGCTTGGTTCTCTTCACAACGAAGGAGCCCTGCCATTCTCTTGCAGTTTGAGAAATGGGCTCTTGTTCCAAGTGTGACTCCTAGAGGGCGCCAAAGCTCCAGGTCTCCGCTTGAATTCACGGGCAGCGCAGCGTTCTTACAGGATGGGTGCCTATAAGTGTTTTATGTCGACTGTCATCGCTTTATCATGAAATCTTGCACCAGCCAAGCACATTAGTGGCACTGACACGATGAGAATTTTGCTTTAATATTTAGCTGTTTTCTTCTGACAAAACTTCAGGGCACCCCTCCCCTGAAAATAATTATTGCAGGAAGGATTTAGATGGGAGAAAATGGAATTTTATGACTTGTTAGTTAATTATGTCAAACTTTAAAACTGGTGTTTGTGGCTGTGAATGTAACGTGTGCAGTGGGGAGATGTGTTCTTCCCTTGTGAAGGTACTTGGCATTCAACTGTGAATAATGACAATGGCCAGGAGTCTCACCATCTCTGAAAAGAGCCCCGCCTGCTGACCTGGTTATAATTGCTGCCAGCTGCTTAATTTACCTGATAGACACAAGCTCCTCACTGTTTGGAGCCCATCGTCTTTAGTTGGACATCTTTGTGGGTGATGTCGGTATTTCTTCTTCTGCTCAGGGCTGGCCATGTGTCTTAGGGTTTCTATTGCTGTGAAGAGACACCATGACCATGGCATCTCTTAAAAGAAAAACAATTAATTGAGGTGGTGGCTTACAGTTCAGAGGTTTAGTTCATTGTCATCATGGTGATAGATGTGGGGAGGGAGGAGTAGCTAAGAGTCCTACATTGGGCAGGCAACAGGAAGTCAACTGAGACACTGGGTGGTATCCTGAGCATAGGAAACATCAAAGCCAGCTCCACAGTGACACACTTTCTCCAACAAGGCCATACCCACTCCAACAAAGCTACATCTCCTTATAATGCCACTCCCTATGAAATTTTGGGGTCAATTACATGCAAACTACCACACCAAGCTAGCAGAGAATCTTAAGTCCTTGCACGGGGTCACTTAAAACCATTGGAAAATGCAGATATTTACATTACAACTTGTAACAGCAGCAAAATTACAGTTATGAAGTAGCAACAAAAATCATTTTATGTTTGGAGGTCACCACAACATGAAGGATTGTATTAAAGGGTCACAGCATTAGGAAAGTTGAGCGCCATTGCCTTAGAGAGTTGCTTTGTCCAGATGGAGTGAGCTGAGAAGAGACAGTGTTGGCCTTGGTAAGTGGGGTATGGGTTGGTGGAATTCTGAAGTGTGGAAGAGAGGTGTCTGGATAGAGTGGGATGGAGAAGATGGCATTGGACACCCAGATCCCAAAGTGTGAGGAAGCTGAGAGGCAGTGCTGTCTGGTGTGACATCATGGAGGTGGATGGCAGGCTTCTGGAGAGAAGGCCGAGGTGTGTTCTAGAAAAGACTACTTCTGGGGAACTCCCTCTCTGGAAGGTGCTTCTGCTTGGTATAGTAATGTCCTGGATGTGAGGTTTTCTCCCCCAGAAGCTTTCTGCTCAGGTACCCACATCATGCCCATGTAACCTATTCAGGGGACAGCTGTCTATTTCCCTCCATTAGATAAAGACAGTTCCTGTCTGCTTCACATCTCACTGCTAACCAGAGGTCACAATGCCAGGAATAGTAAGAGAGGCTGGAGAATGGTTCAGAAGGTGCATGAAGGTACTGCTGGCTCAGTTCTTTCCTTATTGGCTTTCTGATATAAATTGGGTTGCAAACCTTGTATATAAGATGAAGTAGGTTCATGGTGTGGGTAGAAGGAATGACTCTAAGATATATGCTTCCTGGTGGATGGGAAGTCAGAGTTTGTGTCTTTGCCCAGTCACCTGAACAAATCTTAATTGTGACGTTTGTCCTCCAGTAGGTGCCGGCTCACAGCCCAGATGCCCTGTCTCCTTGTTCCAAATGACAACCTGCTTATATTTGATGTTCTCAGCTTGCTGGCACAATGCATGTGATCTTCACACTGACATGAATATCATAGGTTCTTTCCCTGGCCAATGACTCTAGAAGCAAGGACAATTGGAGAGCATCTTTCATCCAGTTGGTTTGCCCCTAGAACCAATTCCTCCCCAAGAGCTTCAGGGGCCTGTGTCCTGTCTGTCTGTCTCGTTCCTTCCCTCTCCCTTTCTTTTTGCTGGGATTCTTAGAGCACAAATCTTGGATTCCACAGTCCACCCTCCACCCTCCACTTCATTGTTTGGTAAATAAACAGGCTTTTTTTTTTCTGCTAACATATAAACATCAAAGATGACAGAATTGAAGAGTGCAGTCTGACTGACACACTTTGACTTATGTGACGTTCACATGGCATTTCTCAAGTCCCCCTTCTGTTGATTTCTACCTTTATTCCACTGTGGCCTAATAGGGCTTTCACTTTCTCTGTCTCTGTCTCTGTCTCTCTTTGTACTGTTTAGGCTTCTCTTGTGGCCTATGACGGGCTCAGTTTTGGAGACGGTTTCATTCCCTGCTGAGAAGAATGTGTATTCCCTATTTGTTGGATAAAATATTCTGCAGACCTTGTTAAATCCAGTTGATTTGTGATGTAAATTAGCTCTGAAGTTTCTCTGTTGATTTTAGATTTGGAAGAAGTATCTAAATATCAGCAGGACATTGATGTTTTCCACTTTAATAGTGTCAGGAA